CACACTGAAAATTAAGTCATTCTTTAATACCCTCAGACTTCAGGTTTTTTTTCCTATTTTTTGTTTGTTTTGGAGGGCATCACTCCCAGAGATACTCAGGAGTTACTCCCAGTTCTGCACTCAGGTATTACTTCTGGTGATCTTATGGGGACCATAAGGGATGCCAGGAACTGAACCCAGGTCAGCCAAGTGCAAGGCAAATATGCCACTTGCTCTACTATTGCTCTGGCCCTACCCTCAGAGTTAAAATTTTCTGATTGTTTCAAAATTATCTCTTTATATTTGGCATATTCAAATCAAGGTCAAAGCAAAGTTCATGAAATATATTGTCATAAATATGACATATTCCTTAAGACTTTTAATAAATTTTAATCAATAATAAATAAATAATAAATAATGAGATCTCCAAGCCTGCTTGCATGGGGACTGGGCCTCCTCCACCCAGATCCCCCATCTTCCAGTAGCTAGACAGTTGCACCCACCAACTGCCGTGTAATCCCACCAACGGCCAAAACCCAGAGACTATAAAACCAAGCCCCCAGAAGCATGCAGCTGCATTTGCGGCCGTGCGACCTCTTATTGTCTAGTTTTCTCTCTCAGAGAACCCGGCTGGCTACCGAAAGTATCCTGCCCGCATATATGCCTGACTGGGAACACCTGTAACGGTGATTAGAGGCTGCCCCAAAAGCCTCCATCCCTCTCAGAGAGCCCAGCAAGCTATTGAGATTATCCCGCCTGCCGTGGCAGAGCCTGGCAAGCTACCCGTGGTGTACTCGATATGCCAAAAACAGTAACAATGATGGTCCTCATTCCCCTGACCCTGAAAGAGCCCCCAATATGCCATCAGGCTACACTAGCACTTGACAGGGATGAATGAAGACATTACTGGTGCCCCATCGAGTAAATCGATGAACAACAGGATGACAGTGATACAGGGAATAATAGCAATATTACTGCCACCCCTTTCTTTGTTAGAGAAACGGAATCACTGGAGCTTTAGAATTTTCTATAGTTGGTAAACTTGGCACAATGTCTGTATTTGGGGTGTCATTTGATTTACACCTTTACTCCATATTTTCTAAAACTCAGTAGTTAAGCCTGCTTGGTTAAATTCATGTGCTTCGTTTTTTGTAAACACCTTCATGGTGGGTGTTGTATTTTTTATTTATTTTTTTGTACATCATATTTACTTAATGCAGGTCGACCAACTTCTAGTGATCCTAAGATTACTCACTGGGTTCAGGTAGTGTAGTTTGGGCCCTCTTTTATAAGTTCCGATAGCCACTTACTGACCATTTTAGCCTTCCTTGATAATCATTGCCTAAATTCACTATTTCATTAAGGATTGCGAAATGATAATTTTCTACTTCTATTATTTCTACTATGATTCCATGGGCAAGTTAAAAAGTAGATGTATAGTTTTGCAAGACATTGTAAAATGCCTTTCCTATGGAATTGTATCATTTTTCAGTACTAACACAATGAGAAAAAACTGCTTTCTTATATACAATCAAATATTGCCAAAATTTTTTAGTTTTGCCAACCTTATAGGTAAAATCTGGGATTGTATTGGAAATTTGATTTAAATTTTGCTTATTATAGACAGGACTGTGCATTTTTCCATATTTTTGTGTCATTTATGGTTTTTTCCCCAATGAACTCTGAATCACAACTTTTGCCAAGACTGGCTTATTGGTCTTTTTCCAGCCTCTCAATTTTAGAAGCAATGTATAACTGAAGGATATTAGCATATTGTTATCACTGTATCACGGTTATCCCGTTGTTCATCAATTTCCTCGAACAGGCACCAGTAATGTCCCCTTCGTCCCAGCCCTGAGATTTTAGCAAGTGCCACATTGGAGGCTCTTTCCGGGTCAGGGGAATGAGACCCATCATTGTTACTGGGTTTTGGCATATAGAATATGCCATGGGGAGCTTGCCAGACTCTGCCATGTGGGCAGGATACACTCAGTCGCCTGGTGGGTTCTCCAAGAGTGAGAACTAGATAATAAGAGGTTGTGGCCGGGCGCTTTGGGAGCTGGATTTTATAGTCTCTTGGTCTTGGCTGTTGATGGGATAACACGGCGAAGGGGGCAGTGGGTGGGTGTAACACCTACATAGTGGAAGATGCGGGATCTGGGTGGAGGAAGCCCAGTCCTGATCTGAGCAGGCTTGGAGATCTCAGCCCCGGGTCCTGCATGCCTCAGTTTCTCTGCCGGTTCCTTCATGTGTGAGGCTCACCTGAACGTGTGGAGAGTGGTCTTAAGCATGGCTGTGGCTGGTTCTGGAGGTCTTCAGCTGCCGGGGCTCTGCTGGGGCTGGGAGGGAAACTCAACTCAACCCTCCCCCCTCCAAGGGGCCCCAGTGAGGAGAGCCAGGCGTGGGGACAAGAAACATATTGTTATATGAATTGCAATATTTTTTTCCAGTTAGGCATTTTTATAATTTATGTTTTTGTCACAAAAGGGATTTTTACATTTATGAAATTAAATTATTTTCTCCTTACTGCTATGATTTTTGAGTAATAGCTAGAAAGGTTTTCTTCTAGATTCATCTAAAAGTTTATTAAAAAATTGACCCATATTTTCTTCTAGTAGACTTAGTCAAGGTAGTTCTTTTGTTTTTTCCCCCCTAGGGCTGTATTGAGATATAGTTCACATACATAAAACTCACTCACTAAAACTATATACTTTGATTATTTAGATTGCGATGACGACATTATTGCTATTTTTCTGGGGGGCAGGGAGTCACACCCGGTGATGACAGGGATTACTCCTGGCTCTGCACTCAGGAATGACTCTTGGTGGTGCTCAGGGGACCATATGGGATGCTGGTAATCAAACCTGGGTCGACTGTGTGCAAGGCAAATGCCCCACCCACTGTGCTATCCCAGCCCTACATTATTGCTTTTTAATTATGGTGGAGCATATAACATTAAATCTCCCACGAATCATTTAAAAAATACAATTAAGTAGCATTAATGACATTCACAATGTTGTACAACTGTCACCACCAAAGTTTAGTTTTACTGAACTTTGTTCATCAATTAGTGCATGAACATTCACTAGTATGTCCCCATTCTATGCTCCTCATGGGCTGGAGCGATAGCACAGTAGGTAAGGCATTTGCCTTGCACGCGGCTGACCCGGTCAGCCCAGGCTCGATTCCTCTGCCCCTCTTGGAGAGCCCGGCAAGCTACCGAGAGTATCTCACCTGCATGGCAAAGCCTGGCAAGCTACCTGTGACGTATTGAATATGCCAAACACAGTAACAACAAGTCTCACGATGGAGACGTTACTGAGCCTGCTAGAGCAAATTGATTGATAAAATTGATGCTCCTCACAGTGCCACTTATCTTCTTCTACCAACAATAAATGACAGTTCCATTTCTCCATAACTCAATCAAAACTTTATTTTAATCTTTTTAATAGTCATCTCAGTAGGTACAAGGTGACGTTTCATTGTCATTTTGATTTGAACTTGACTAATAATGTTGAATATCTTGTGTTTATTGCATACCTTCCTAGGAAAGATGTCTTTTGAAATCCCTTGTGTATTTTCTTTTTTGTAATTTTTTATATTTTATTTTCATAAAGTAGTTCACAATAGTTCATTGCAGATAATATTCAAATACAATTCAACCATTGAGCACCTTTCCACTACAATAAGAAGAAAGTGTGTGAAGGTTGTTGTATTTCATTCTGGAGCCATTTAAGCCCATATATAAGAGAATACAAGCAAGTATATTAAAACCAAACAAATGTGTGCTACTTTTGGTACATAGGTGGGCTAGAATATAAGAGGTCTTATACTTTGTGCCTGCTTGCTCCAGGAAATTCTGCAGTGTTCTCTTCTGGGAGCTTTGGTTTATAGGCTCTGGATCTTGGCCATTGATGAGGTTACATGGCACTGGGGGCAGTTTGTGTCTGTGACTGCCAAGCTATTGGAAAACTGGGCAGCTGGGAGGAGGGAGAGGCCTAATCCCCATCTGAACAGGCTTGAAGGTCTCAGTCACGGGGCCGCATACCTGGGTTTTTCTACCAGATCCCACTTCGGAGAGACTTGTGGGAGTGTGTGGAGAGTGGCCTTGAGCATGGTGGTGGTTGAGTTCTGGAGGTTTTCAGCTGGAGTTCTGCTTGGGGCAAGGAGGGAAACTCAACCTGCCGCCCTCCGAGGTGCCCCGATGAAGACAGCCTGATGTGGGTTCAGGAAATTCTGCCCCCTTGTGTATTGCTTATTTTCAAAACTGGATTGTCTTTGTGTTAATGAGTGGTAAGTGTTCTTTATTTATTCTGGATATTAAATCCTTATCAGGCATATGAGTTTCAAATATTTTCTTCTGTCCTGTAGAGTTTTTTCACTTTCTTGATAATATCCTTTAGTAATTTTGTTTTAGCAATTAAATTTTTCTTTTGTTTCTCATGCATTTGATGTCATTAGAATCTATGATCAAATGCAAAATCCTTAGGGTTTTCTTTTAATGTTTTGTTCTAAAAGTTTTATGATTTCAGACCTTAGGTATTTGATCCATTAAATTGATTTTTGTGTACGGTATAAAATAGAGGTCCAACATCAATCATTTGCATGTGAATAACCAGTTGTCTCAGCACCATTTGTTTAAAATATTACAATTTCTTCTTTCTTATTATTTCTTAAAATTTATTATTATTATTGTTATTAGTTTTTGGTTTTTGTTTGGAAGCCACACCCAGCTGTGTTCAGGGTTTATTCCTGGTTCTGCACTCACGAATCACTCCTGGAGATGATTAGGGGACCAAATAGATTTTGGGAGATATTGCATAGAATCTGTAGGTTACTGTGAAAAGTATTAACATCTTTAAATCTTCCTATATGAACATGGGGTGTCTGTCCATTCCAGCCTTTTATAGATACTTCATGGTGTTATTTCCTAGAATACAAATTTAGGCCAAGCTTCCAACTTCTTCCAACTTTACAAAGGAACACATAGGTGAAAATCTTAAGTGTTGAATGATTGCTTTAAAACACATTTCTTTATAATCCATAAAGAAAACGTTACTTTATTTTCATAAAAATAATAGTCATAAAGTTAGGGGAGAAAGCAAAGTCATGTCTTAGCCTTTACTTAGGGAATTTTTTTTCTCTAAATACTGGTGAAAAAACGTAATTCTTCAGAGTGGAAGAGGACACAAAGACAAGCATACAAGATTGAAAGCATAAAAGCATATTTTCATAAGAACCAAGCAATCCTTATTGTTGGAGGACCAAATGACATCATCATTAATGTAAGTAGAATCAAAATTCACAATCTGTAAGTCCTTCTTAAGATACACATGATTCAGCTTATTTACAGTTCGAGCAAAGGCATATTTAGAAGCACAACTATACGCTTCCAAACGGTACACTTTTTTGAAGTGCAGATCAAAAAATGGATTGTCCTAGAAGAGAAAGGGAGATATGATTTTGTTATAGACAGGAAAATAGCCAGGTGTCCTAGATTAACCTGCATTCCCTTGTATATGCTTATTGATTGTATTATAACCATATCAAACACATTTTCAAAATCTGCAAGTGGGCTTTCCAATGTTTACTGCTACATAGTACTTCTAAATGGAGAAAAATAGAATATATTACAGTGTTTGTACACTTCCAATGATACAAAAAAAACTTATACCTTGTAACGTTCAGTTATTTTGGCTTTCTATGATAATGAATTTGGGAGGATAGATAAGGGCGGAGAAAAAAACTAAACCCACTCATGAACTTCTGAACTGCAGAATAAGCTTCTGCCTTACTCTACTAGATGCTTGTCTCATGTGCTATTTAAAAGTTAGAAGGGAAAATTACAAGATACCTGTAGCTTATCAATTTTTAAAAAAATTTTTTATTAGTGAAACACCATGAGGTACAGTTATAGACTTACAAATTTTTGTGCTTGGGTTTCAGTTATACAATGATCAAGTACCCATCTCTTCACCAGCGCTCATCCTCCACCACCACGGGTCCCAGCATCCCTCCCACCCCCCATGCCCTCCATCCTACCCTGCCTCTGTGGCAGGGTATTCCCTTTTGTTCTCTCTCTCTCTCTCTCTCTCTCTCTCTCTCTCTCTCTCTCTCTCCTTTTGGGTCCTGTGGTTTGCAAGAGAGGCATTGAGTGGCAATCATGTTTGGTCTATAGTCTACTTTCAGCATGCTTCTCCCACCCTGGGAGGATCTTCCCAACACCCTTTAATTGGTGCTCTCTTCTCTATCTGAGCTTCCTTTTCCCCTAGCACGTGTGGCTGGCCTCCAAGTCATGGAGCTCAATTTTTGATTCTGAAGTTAATAACAAGGAATAACTATTAACTATTAATAGTTATTAATAGCAAGCAACTCTCCATTTTGTTTGTTTTGGCCCCACACCCAGTGGTGCTCAGGATTTACTTTTGACTTTGTGCTCAGGAATCACTCCTGGCAGTGCTGGGGGAGACCATATGGTGTGTTAGGTATTGAATATGGGCCAGCCACATGCAACACAAACACCATATTCACTATCACTCTGGTCTTCCACAAGGAATTAAGTTTGATGTTAATAGCAAAGGGGACTCCGCACCAGGCTATGGGGCAGGTGAGAGCCCTCCCTACCCCCAAGGGACAAAGTCCCGGCAGCCAACCTTCACTACCCAACTGCTGCTACGCTCCAGGCCACTTTCTTGATGCTCAGGCTGAGACTCACGCATGAATGAAGTCCCAGGGCACCCAGATAATGCGGAACTTCGTGACCTTGGACATATTATAAGACACTTCCTACCCATTTTTCATAATTACTACACCATATCTGTGGGGGTTCAGACAGTAGGCAACAAATCATAGAGAAAAACATATAAATATATGCCTCTCGGAGAGCCTGGCAAGCTACCAAGAGTATACCGCCTGCATAGGCAGAGACTGGCAAGCTCTCCGTGGTGTATTCGATATGCCAAAAACAGTAACGACAACAGGTCTTATTCCCCTGACCCTGAAAGAGCCTCCAATCGTTGGGAAAAAATGAGTAAGAAGAGGCTCCTAAAATCTCAGGGCTGGGAGGAATAGAGACGTTACTGGTGCCCGCTCGAGTAATTCTACAATCAACGGGATGAGTGATGACAGTGATGATGACAGTTAATAGCAAAGACCATCAGATCATTTGAAACTGTTGAAGTACTAAATAAGATTTCTATAGGACTAGTTGACTGATTATACTTCTATTGGAAATGTTTCCAAAAAGTATACATTAAAGATTAAATAATATAAATTGCTACTATTGCTGGAGCGATAGCACAGCGGGTAGGGCATTTGCCTTGCACGCGGCCAATCCGGGTTCAATTCCTCTGCCCCTCTTGGAGAGCCCAGCAAGCTACTGAGAGTATCTTGCGCGCAAGGCAAAGCCTGGCAAGCTTCTCGTGGCATATTTGATATGCCAAAAACAGTAACAACAAGTCTCACAATTTGTTGTGAAATGTTACTGGTGCCCGCTCAAGCAAATTGATGAACAATGGGAGGACAGTGCAGTGCTACAGTGTTACTATTGCTAATAATAGTAATAATGATTCTTTGACTTTATGTACTGTTAAATGCTTTCATATTTGTTATCTGTCTAACTTGTAACTTTCCTTAAGAGTAGAGGTTTTGCATTATTTATCTTTGTGTTCCTAATGCTTATCCAGGGCAACTACAAAGTTCTCAACAAATGTGTATCTGAAGCAGTCCTTCAGAAAAAGAAAAGGAAGAAAATATTGCTCTGACAAGGGGGTGAAGAGGGACCAAATCAGAGACTAAATTAGGTATTAATTCACTATCATGTAGGATATAACTATATATTAAAATTTTGTGCATTTTCATATTTATTTTTGAAGTAGAAATTTTTTTTCGGGAGACAAAAAAAGGAACACATTCTTTACTTTTTACTGTTTTCTAGTTTGTTTATTTTACTCTTTGGTTTCTGTCTTCCATGTTTTGTAGTTTTTTTCCCCCTTCTAACAATTTTGAAGTTAGAGAATCATTTTGACTCCCTGATTAGCCATGGGCAAAATACTTATCTGAGCTGACTCTCATTTTCCTTATTTTAAATAACGTTCTTATAGCATTTTAGATGGAATTAATCATACAAATTACCTAGCTTGATACTTAATAAATAATAGTTATTTTCCCCAAGTCTGTCCCATTAACACCCAAATTGATATTAACACCACATTGCTTCATATCACTAAATTTATAAAACAAAGTTTTACAAATAAAATGTATAAAAGTTATGTAATTTTAGATATAAGGCTTACACATGAAAATATTTTCATGATTGCAAGACTCTTCTACAGAGAATTTCAATAAAAGGAAATCACACTAATTACATCATCAGATACTAATCATATCCCTTATGTAATTTATTCTCTGAGACACTTGTTCTTATTATACAGAAATTATCCTTAGTACTTTTGAGATACTCAGAAAGGATTTTTTTTCATTTTTGCCTACCAATAAAATTCTTAGAAAAAAATAATAGAATACAAATATAATATAATATAAATTCAATAGAATACAAGTCCCTCCTTCCCTACTTCCTTACTTTCCTTAATTTCCTCCTTCATTCCCTTTCCCATTTTTTTCTCTCCCATATTCTCCATCTCTTTTTTCTTTCTTCAGTAGAACCCTAGAGCTAAAAGAGCTCTCTGCTAATAGAATTTAGCAGTCTTCTGTATACAGCCAGGATGATAGTTTCCAGAGAGTGAGCTCAGGGGAACACATGAAATTATGGGCAGAGCCAGAACAAGAACCAAGATCTCAATCAATCAACAAAAATCCAATTTTTGTTTCGGGAGTGTCTCTCCCATTGCATCATGTCAATCTTCAAATCCCCAGTCATTTTGATTTCTACTTTATAAATTGACTTCAATTTCAACTCCATTCCATTTTAAAGTTGACAACTTTCTGGCTTGAAATTGCTTTATTTAAAACTGTGTCATTGCTATAGAGCAAAATATGATATATGCTAACTCCCGAGGACTCAGTTCCAGAAGAGAGAAGTGAAAAATACTAGAACGACTAAGATCTTTTAATTTTATCCACAGAAAAGAAGTCTCTAAGAGAACTGCTCTTCAGATATTATGGCTCCTTCGACATAATTCAGAAATTTAAAAATTAACTTTGGCAATTCAGAAATGGAATGGACTCCCGTGTGTGGTATTGAGTTATTCTTTGGCAGAGGAGTTCAAAGAGAGACTGTTTTTCAAATTGGTTAGACGTGGGGAGATAGTAATATACACACTTTCCCCTCCTTTCCACTCCACAGTTGTAAAGTTGTAGAATTTCCAAGGGTTATTTATTCTTTTGGAGAATCAAGTGCCACTGATATTAAATTTGAAGAACACAAGGGAAGGAATCCCCAAACTACTAAACAATCTTTTGACTTTTGGGCCACACCCAGAGGTGCTCAGGACTTAATCCTGGCTCTGCACTCAGAAGTAATTCCTGGTGTTAATGAGAGGACCAAATAGAGTGCCAAGGATCCAACCTGGGTTGAGTGTGCAAGGCAAGACCTTACTTGCTATACTATCTTTTGGACCCTGAGATTCCAAAATTTATGGCGAAAACTGAGTGCCAAGAAGACAATGCCAGGAACAACATATTTTCCAAGTTTCGAGATTGACTAAAAGATTGTGTTTAATTTGTTTAGAACCCCCTGGAAAGACTGGAGAGATAGTACAGGAGTTGAGGGGCTTGACTTGTGTGAGGTTCAATTCTTGGAGGCATAAAATCCTCCAAGCACTATTAGGAGCACAGATTCAGGAGTAGCTCCTGAGCACTCCTGGGTGTGACCCCAAACTCTAAAGAAATAAACAAGCATCTTGGGAAGCTTTTATAAAGTATTATTTTATAAATAGGTATAGTTAAAATTCAAACTAATAAGAATTAGAACAAAAATGATTGGCGAGTTAGTGGTTAAGTTAGTGGTTGATTTGTGGTTAGTGGTTGATTTGCAGCTCACCAACCCTAGTTTGAATCCCCAGCACAGCTTATGTTTCCCTGAGCACTGCCAGTGGTCATTCCTGAAGAGAGGCAGGAATAATAGTCCTTGAGTACTTCTGGGAGTGACTCAGCAATCCGCCTCCCCACAAGCCCCACCAAAATAAGCAAACAAACAGAACAACACCCCCATTATATTGTTCCAATAGATTCGAACAAATCACTGAAGAACAACATAAAATTTTAACACTTGGTAGTGCCAAGAATACAAAAAGTTAAGTTACCAAACATAAAGATTCCAAAACATAACTTACGGTATCTGCCTCTTTTCCATCAATTTTCTGCAGATCTTTCAAAGACCATCTTTTGGTTACTTCATATTTTTCATCTAAACCTATTCTGTAGTGTTTCACCATAATTATTTTTACTTCTTCTTTTTTGGTCACTGTAGAAAAAAATAGTTTAAACTCTTAAAGAGAATACATTATTTATTATCATACTTTTAAGTATTTATATATTGTTCATATACTGACCTTGAACCATATAATTTGAATCCCAATTATGAATCCTGATTTAGCTGAACTTTGTGAGTATGTCCCCAAATTTGCTTAAATGGTTTTATTTTTTGCTACAATTGTGTCTATATATGGTCACAGTAACATCTGCCAAATATAATTATGTGTTTTGAATTACAAACATTCAAATGGAGAATTGGGGTTCAACCCTAGGTAGGAAACAAGGTTTAGTGTTAAGGTAAATCAGAGCCAGGGTGTTTATTAGAAGAATTTTGAATTTTAACTTATGACAATATAAGAAAGCGAGGCCACGAAAGTAAGCAGTTCTACTCACACAGCACTACACTGTTCAGAGTAGATAAATACCACTATTACCATTGTCTTTTAAAGTTGCTTTGAGATTTTTTGATATAGAAGTATTTTCATCACAGTTACTATTGGTTTGTTTGGTTTTCTTTCCTTTATTTTTTTTATTGTTGCTTCAGGTTCTTAATCCAACAACTAGCATTCAGATGTGTCACTGAAACAAAACAGTTTAGTATTGTACTTTGAAAAGTTTTAGCATTGTACTATTAGAATGAATAAGGAATTAATTGCTTAATTTATATGAACAAAATAAGGAAGATGATTTCTTATGCTGAAAATTACTTGTATTTGGTCTTTTTTTTTTAATAGTTTATTTCTTTATTGAATCACTGTGGGAAAAGTTACAGAGCTTTCGGGTTTAGGTCTCAGTCATGTGAGTATCAAACACATTTCCCTTTACCAATACTTATTTTTAACCGTGAACCCCAATAGAACCCCACCTCCCACCCCTCCCAATTCCTGTGAGGCAGATGAGTTCTAGTTAATACTCTATCTACTTTGACTAGATACATTGTTTCCATAGAAGATGCACAATTATTGTTTAGAGTTTACGACCCCCCACCCCCAATCAGATATGCTGAAACAGAGTTGCGAAATGATTTGCTTTCTACAGCTTGGTTTAAGAATAAAATGATGTCTGGCAGCGCGGTTTTGGATTTCTGCTGTTTTACTTATTAACCCTGGAAGTATTTCTATTAAAAGTTAGATAGTTAAGAGATTGGTTTCTGTGCCCTGGAGTCATGGCCGTGCCAGAGAGCCGCTCGTGGGGGGCAGCTGGTGACCTCGGTCGGGCGTGAAGGACGGCCCAGAACGCCCCCCTTCCCATGAGGCCCCCGCTGCCCCCCGCCCCCGGCTCAGACCTGCTGTCCACAAGGCTCCCGTGCAGCCGCCATCTTTCTTTCCAGAGAGGAGCGGGCGAGCGGGACAACACCCTTTCCCCTCTGGGCAGGCTTGGTGGTGCGGTTTAACACATAGTCCATTTGCTTCTCTGCTCCAAGCGGCTGGCTCTCTGTGCTAAGTCCTTGTGCCTCCGGGGCCGTGGCCGTGCCGGAGAGCTGCTCGTGGGGGGCAGCTGGTGACCTCGGTCGGGCGTGAAGGACGGCCCAGAACGCCCCCCTTCCCATGAGGCCCCTGCCGCCCCCCGCCCCAGGCTCAATCCTGCTGTCCACAAGGCTCCCGTGCGGCCGCCATCTTTCTTTCCAGAGCTACTTGTATTTGGTCTTATATAAAAACAATGAAAAAAATGAACATTTGATATTAGATCTAATTCTGAACCAAAAATTATCAATAAGTTAATGATGAAATATTTATTGAGTGACCATTATTTACCTGATAGAACTATTTTATATGCGACAAAAGATACAGGTAAGCAACAAGCTTTTTTTTAAATCTCTAGAAACATTAGCTGAAAAAGAAAGGCTATCACACATGAGTAATATAAAACAAATATTATAAAAATTTATAGTACATTATACAGAAGTTGGCTGGAGAGATAGCACAGTGGGTAGGGCGTTTGCCTTGCACACCGCCGACCCAGGTTCGATTCCTCCGCCCCTCTTGGAGAGTCCGGCAAGTTACTGAGAGTATCTCGCCCTCACGGCAAAGCCTGGCAAGCTACCTGTGACGTATTCGATATGCCAAAAACAGTAACAACAAGTCTCATAATGGAGATGTTACTGGGCCTGCTCCAGCAAATTGATGGACAACGGGAGGACAGTGACAGTGACAATACAGAAGTTACATAGCTGAATAAATTTTATGGTATTTTTTTTTCTCTTGGGGATCACACCTGGCTGCACTCAGGACTTTCTCCTAGCTCTGCACTCTGGGATTACTCCTGGTGGTAGTTGAGACTATATGAAGTGTTGTGGATTGAACCCTGGTTGACCATGTTCAAGGTGAGTGCCCTACCCTCTGTGCTATAACTCCAGCCCGGAGTTTTTTCCTTAATATATGTAGGGATCATACCTAGTAGTGTTGGGGGAGTCATGTGGTGTCAGGGGTGAAACTTAGGACCTTCTATATGTAAGGGATATGTAAAGCATATGCTCTATCACTTGAATTATATTCCCAGCCCCAGAATTGAGTATCTTAACTTTATCCAGGATGAATGGCATCACTTAGAGAGCTGAAAACTGGCTCTGTTTTCTGAGAGTGAGACTGAATTTTATCATCTGAAAATTTTCCCTTTGTTCTGAAAAATACTGCCTAGGAATTCCTTTCTTAATCTGTAAAGCAACATCATGCAATACAATCAAAGTGTTAGGTAAGTGAGATGGAGCAAAACATATTGTTTCTAGAGGCGTTCTGGGAAGAGAGAGGATTAGAATCGTTAAGGGAGGAATTATGGAAGAAACAAAATTTGAGATAGGGCTTAAAATTAAACAGGCTAAGGAAAGAAGGGTGATGCAGCAGACATTTTGAGACTTGAAGAAGGAAACTGAAAGGCAATCGAAGTGTTTCACTTCACCAGGTGTAATTAGAGAAAGTGGACAGAGAGTTGGCTGGTGTGAGGACACAGTGAGCAATAGGACGAACCAGGTGTGCAGGTTGTGCAAATGATTTTGAAGAATTGTGGTTTTGAAAAGTGACAGAGACTGCTGTGGATATGTGGTGTCTGAGTACAACTCTCTGGGGGGAAGGAGGGGGTGCTCCATCAGTGAGGGCTCTAGACTTGGGGCTGGCAAAGGGGATTGTTACCCTCTGGAAGTGCCAGAGATACTGAACTCAAGGCAATCACCTGATCTCAAGAGTTGATGCTGGAGCTGAGCTCTGTCCACTAGATAAGAGAGTTTGAGCAGGTGAGCACAAAGAGAGTACAGTGTCAGGTGTGAAGGCCCGTGCAGTAATGTGTGCTTAATACATCTCCCTCTTCCTCCTGCAGGAGTACCTTGCTGAAAGAGACTCTTTCCGGAAACTTCAGTGCACTTTGAAGAAGAAAGGAAAAAGGAACTGAAGGCCTCTGGAAGAGGAGGGGTGACCTCATGGGCTCTGTATGAGTTATTCTGGATTTAAGTTCTAGCACCACCTCTTATTGTGTGGTCAGCGTAAATGACTTCATGTCCAGAGAGCCTAATTCTCAGTTTCTGCATGCTGTGATGTGGATAGCAGAGTCATACATCTGCATAAGGTATAAACATTAAAGCAGATGAAGTCTGGAAGAGGCTTAGGAAAGTGCTTGATTTATAGTAGGTAAGAAAGTATGTTCGTTTTAAGATGCTGTTGTCATCTAGGCATAGGGTGTGGGCAGTGGAAAGAGAAGAGGCATATCTAAATAACATTTCAAATAAGGCGTTGGCAACAACACAGGAAGACAATAACATTGGGAGAAGCCGATACAGGAAAGAAAATATAGAAGGTGAAGTGTTTGGATGGAATAATGAGGTTGACTTTTGACAGACAGACTTTTGTCCACAGTCTATCTCTGGAGAGAAAAATGGAAATTAATAATTTAAGAATAAATATTTGGAACTGTTTGATGTGGACAACACACAAGACTAAATTTATAGGACAAAGACCAAAATAAAGAGGTGGAGAAGGAAAGGGTGCAAAGGAGATATATGACAAGGGCAATCAGAAAAGAGAGTAGTCAAATTTTCAAATGTTGAGAGACAGGATTGACAAAACTGTTGCTGTAATTTTTGGGACCACACCCAGAGGTTCTCAGGGGCTACTCCTGGCTCTATGCTCAGGGGCTCTGCTTGGTGGGGCTTGGGTGTCCATATGCAGTTCTGGGGATTAAGCCAGTATTGTGGCCACAGCCACATGCTATGCAAGTACTTTATTACTTGTACTATGGGATGAACTATGCAAGTACATCTCATAAACTTAATTTTAAAAGTGTTTTTATTTATTTTTCCCCAAGTTTTTAATTTTAGGCATCATAGTTTATAGTATTGTTAACAATAGGGTTTCATGCATAACTAACACAAAAAGATTGGATTTGAAACATGGCAGAAAGTGCTGCAGACCAGTCTGAATACTGCTCTGGTGGGAAGGATGGGAAATGGGTGACTTGAACAATGAGGGTTCCAAAACAGGGCTCAGGAAAGGGAATCCTTGTCAGGAGACAGTGAAATCAAGGTAACTGACTAAGCTCAGAGCCAATGCTGAAGATGAACTCAGTCTCCTGGAGAAGAGTCTGAGCAGGCTAACACGTCTGAGAAGTCAGGGTCTGGAAGCGCAAAACCATCCATTAAGAAATTCAAGAGAATATCAAAGATTTGGACACAATTTCATGAGCTCATTTTATTGGGTAAAGCCAGTTCAGTCCCGGCACTGAAACACTTTAAAAAGATTATCGATTTTCCTCTCTAACAGCAGTTTCTTTAAACTAGAAAGGGCAGAAGACAACCAAAAGAGGACTTTTTCATGCCTGAAATACAGAGTGAGTATACAGTGTGCTGTTTCCAGGATCAGTAGGACTTCAAAACAGAAGAGAAAAAAAGAAAATAAAAGAAAGGGAACAAAATAAAAAGAGGAGAAAGGCTATTGCTTAGATCATACATTTCAAGTCTGGAAGAAGAAGGACTGAATACTTTGGGGACAGAGGTGGTGACAGAGAGACATTCTAGATGGAATCTAAAGTAGAAGATCTTAACCCAGAGCCCACAAACTGGCTCACATTATGAGTCTCCGAAAATTATGTGCAAAAAATGGTGGGTTTGCTCATTTCTACTTCTTTGACTCTAAACAAGCCCGTTTCCACTGGTTTAGGCCGCAGCTTTGGGAAGAGGAATGGACTATAGAAGCCTCTCGAGAGCCAGAGGGATAGCACAAGGGTTAGGATGCATGCCATATGCCCCAACCCAAGCAACGTGTAGCCCTACTGGCTCCTGAGCACCCCTGAGTGTTGTTCTGACAGTCCCAGCACCTTATTCTTGAGCCTAAGCATTGAATGTCTGCCCGAGTTGTCCAGAATTGCTGGGAGTGGCCCCCGTATGGTCTGAGCATCCACTGGGAGCTGCCCCGCAGAAGTCATTAGTTTGTGTCGAGTTGGAGACACAGTTGGTTCAGTCAGACTTAGTAAGGACAAGAACTCAGAATCATTTTTCCTTATAGGAAGTAGTTGTGTATGTGTAGGCCAGAAGCTCCCAAACTGTTTGGTCTATCACCCACTTTCCATGAAAAATTTACTCTGGACCCTACCAGAAAACTTCTTTCTTTAAGTGAACAAACAGAAAGTTCCCCAAGGCTACTATTTGCACCCAAGACTACTACTGTCCGTGCTCTCCAAATTCCCCTATAGCTCTAGTGCCTCCCAGCGTGGGGGAGGTATTACCCACTTTGGGATACAAGACTCCAAACAAAGGTTCCATCTGAGAGCCAGGGTTCGGTTTTTATTTTTTGTTTTTTTTTTTTTTTTTTGCTTTTTGGGTCACACCAGCAATGCACAGGGGTTACTCATGGCTCATGCACTCAGGAATTACTCCTGGTGGTGCTCGGGGGATGATATGGGATGCTAGGATTCGAACCTGGGTCAAATGCATGCCAGGCAAATGCCCTACCCACTGTGCTATTGCTCCAGCCCTGAGCCAGGGTTCTATGCTTTGTTTGGTTAGCTGTCTCATTTGCTACTGATTGGGTGGAACTGGATAACTTTGGAGAGATGGAAAGAAACAACTGACTACTGCATTGAAGGAAATTCCACTACCTCATCTAGAGGTTATAATCAGCTAATATGATTATAGATCTACACATTCAGTTTCATTAATTTGATAAATATTCAAGGGCCTCATTTGGACAAAGTGCTATGATAGACATTGAAAAATTTATTCTCATTTGGCACCAAATCACTTTCACTGATATTACTGGAAGTCAGGACCTTTAGCAAAAAACTCAGTGCTGCCAATGAGCCATAGATAGGACAAATAGAAATATGATTATCTGTCAGAAACACTTTCTGAAGGTCACCTGATTTGTAAAGGGCAGTGGGAGTTACCGTAATGACGAATTGTGTTATAGGAGTTTGAGAACATATGTATACAAAAGCATGAACTACTCAAGACTTTTGAGTCCTTGTGGGCTGGAGCGATAGCACAGCGGGTAGGGCGTTCGCCTTACAAGCGGCCAACATGGCCGACCCGAGTTCGATTCCTCCGCCCCTCTCAGAGAGCCCAGCAAGCTACCGAGAGTATTCGATATGCCAAACACAGTAAAACAAAGTCTCCAATGGAGACGTTACTGGGCCCGCTCGAGCAAATCGACGATCAACGAGAGGGCCTTTATGGGGTTTTATGGTTATTTCGATTTGTTGGCATTATGTATGAGGGTCAGTAAGTGGTAGCATGCACTAGGGACTGGAGTTTCTGAAGAGCGTAAAAGTCTAGGCTGTCTAAAACGAGAGAGAAAGAGAAAGAGTGAGAGAAGAGGATGCCTGTCATACAAGCAGGCTGGGTTGGGGTGTGGCTTGAAGGGGTGGGAGGGAAGCTGGGGACACTGATGCTGGGAAATTACACTGGTGGAGGAATGGGTGTTGGAACATTCGATGACCGAAACACAATTATGAACAATTTTGTAATGCTCTATCTCATGGTGATTCAATAAAAAAATTAAAAAATAAAAAAAATGCTAGGCTATTACTCACTTACTGTGAGCAAGCATTAGGGACTCCATAATGTTCCTCAAATGTATACTTCTTATAACCTCTCCTTTCCCCTTGGTCTTTGCTCTGTGCTTCAGTCCTAAGAGATTTTCTCATGGTCTGTGTATTTAATCTTGAACCAGGTCCAATAACAGAAGGAAGGGAGGGTGCAGAGAAGAGAAAACAACAGGCCCTCTGCGAACACTCTTTGAGCTTATCATGCACAAGGACTCCTCTTTTCCTTGGAGAAGAGTCAACAACAAGCCCTCTGGAAAGACTCTTGAAGACCAGTTATCATATAGACCCTGGAAAAGAATACTTGTTTGACCTTGCTACAGGAAGAGATCATCTTCCTTCAAGGATCCATTAATCACTGACAGTGGCCCAGATAACCTCAGAACAAAACTCCCTTCTCTTCTGATCCTAAGCCATTAATTTCTTCCAACTTCCTGTTCCAATCAACGTTATATAAATCCCTTGCTTCAATCTGAGAGACCATTTTATGGTTTTACTTGTTTGTTTTTTTTTTTTTTTTGAGGAAAAGAAGTCTAGCATCCTCTTATTTTGCTAGTCCCTGAATAAGTCTCTTGCTAGTCTCTTCCCCACCCCTGTCTACCTACCATCCACCCTTGTTTTTCAAGTCATGGGCCGTGTAGGGTGAACATCCAAACTTGGGTTCAGTAATGAATTAAAAAGTTCAAAAGTGACTTTGAAAGATATGGAGGGGGAGGGAGGCAAAGGAAAGAGGGAATTGCCACTGAAGGACTTTAAGTACACAGGCTGAACTTAAAAATTTTAAGTTTCCTTGGTTAGTTCTGTGAAGAAAAGGGGGAAGAAAAAAGGAGAAGAGAATCAGGCTAAAAATGGTAGAATCGCCTTTCCGTTGGTGACGACCTCCCAACAAGAACATGCCTCTCGCCAAAGACCTCCTTCACCCCTCACCGGAGGAGGAGAAGCAGAAGCACAAGATGAAGCGGCTGGTGCAGAGCCCCAACTCCTACTTCATGGACATCAAGTGCCGAGGATGCTATCAGATCACCACCATCTTCAGCCATGCACAGACTGTGGTTTTGTGTGTGGACTGCTCCACTGTCCTCTGCCAGCCTACAGGAGGGAAAGCCAGGCTTACAGAAGGATACTCCTTCAGACGGAAGCAGCACTAAAAGCTCCCTAAATCAGATGAACGGGAAATCAACCCAATAAACATATTTTGGATAAAAAAATGATAGAATCTTGGACATTTAAGAGGGGGTGTGGAAGTTCAGTAACTTTGTCCACCAAAACATAAACATTTACACTGTTATGACATTTCACCTCAACTACAGCAGTAATAATATGAAAATTAGTCTCTATTGGTGATGTTAATACTCTCTGTCGCACTAATGCTAAACAGAGAAGATAAGTATGCGCTCTAAAAAGTGGCCTTTGGAGCCACAGATACATCACAGAGACAGTGCAGTCTCCTTCATTTGGCAAAATAGCCTCCTCTGGAGCCAGAGAGGCTCCAAGAATTGCCTTCAGCCAAGAGCCAAAGAAGCCTTCTCAGGCTGGAGTGGACCCAACCCTGAATTTCCACATTTAGGCTCGGCTGCCAGATCAAATTAAATGGCCATATCCACATTAATGCAGTGGCAAGGCAGAAACTTCTCACATTGTCTTAAAACCAAAAAGTGTTTGTAATGTCAGTGTTGGTTTCAGACATTTCAAGGCATCATTGTAAATACCATTTAGTAATATCTACAGACCCAGGGAACTTCAGAATAAATCTGCTCCAGTTTGGTTATCTGAGTTCACATTTTCAGAATTATGGTCTTAACTTTATGTCAACCACTTATTTTTACTTTCAATTCCAAAATAATTATTTTTTATAGATAGCTATCTCATTACCATAGTGAAAGAGTCAGTATCAGGCCAGGAAGATCTCACAGGGGTTAGGGCAGCTGTACCCCTACCTGGGCTTGATCACTGGCATCACATGGTCCCTCAAGTATCACTGGTGTGAGCCCGGAGGCCCCTTAGGACTCCCGGGTGGGGCTTAGAGGTCCTGGCACTGCGAAGCCTGAGCAGTATCACATCATCCAGACTTAGGAACTGAACTGAAGGAGCCCCACCTCCCAACCAAGAAAAAGCTAAAAGAGAATCAGTATTACTCATGGGTGAGACTGAGTGGAAAAATAATTGGCCAATTGGAAAATATAATCTGGCAGAATAGAAGAAGAGGGAAAAAGCAGCTCCCAAGAAAGCTGCGGTGACATGGTTTAAATAAATAAATGCTATTTTATGGTCTTTTTTGTTTAATTGTTTTCATTTTCAAAATGAAATAATAAGGGAAAATTATCAAGAACTATCAAATATAAAAATTTTGGTAGAAATATTTCATTGTATAACAATGTATTAATGATGTCTTGGGGTGGTTTAAGATTGCTGTTATGAATTTCATTGAACATTTAAAATACTTGTTTTCATTAAAATTTTTATTAAAATTAAAAAATAATTTTCAAATATTATTTTTCTGAGAAAATTTTAAAATAAAATCTACTTAAGGACTCCTTTGAGTATTATAGGTTGAATATTTGTGCTCCCAAAATTTCTATATTAACACCTTTTTTCTTTTCTTTTTGGGTCACACCTGGCAATGCACAGGGGTTGCTCCCGGCTCTGGATTCAGGAATTACCCCTGGCAGTGCTCAGGTGACCTTATGAAATGCTGGGAATCAAACCCAGGTCAGCCATGTGCAAGGCAAAAGCCCTACCTGCTGTGCTATTGCTCCAGCCCCCTATATTGAAATCATAAGTCTCAAAGCGACACTACTTGGGGATGAGGACTCTAGGATGTGTATAGGTCATGAGAGACAAGCGTTCATGAGTGGCATTTGGGTCTTATTAATTCTTCACAGAACCTTTGTTCCCAGCCCCCACTCCACTGCACCAACTCAGGCCATAATGAGAAAATGGTCCATGTTGAAGCAGCCCTGTACCGGAAAATAGGTCAGCTGGTGCTGGCATGTTTCACATTCCAGCTTTCCCAAGCATGAAGAATACATAATTGTTGATTGTAGACCATCCAGTCTACAGCGTTTTCTCCCATGTTCATATACCACCCTGAATGCACCTGATCTCATCTGATCTCGGAAGCTAAGCAGGTCAGGACTGATTAGTGCTTGGATGGGAGATCATGTAGCACTCATTACTAACATTTTTCTTGCAAATTATTTGACAATATAGTTAGATTATCTGATTTACATGGAAGTTTGTTCTGGCATCAAATGTAGACAGGAGAATTTATGCCTATTATCTTCCTAGGTCTATTAATTATTTAGTAATATCTACTTACATTAATGCTATATATAATGCTTTAATATAAATGCTTATTTGTAGCATAGTATATTTTTGCATAAACATTTTAATAAGTGTTTTCTCAGTAAATACACTTTTCTATAAATTTAGAAGTGAATTATTCAATGATTTCAATCATATGTGGAATGAGTTATTAGAGCAAATTGGCAAGAAACAACAAAACTAACTCCTAGAGTCAGGAAAACTATGGTGGCTATAAAAGGAAAGGGGAGCAGATCATAATGGAGTGAGCAAAGGAGTGTGTGTTGTGTGTGTGTGTAGGGAAGACACTGAAATGTTGGTGATGAAAAAAAGGACATTTCCACAAAGAAAGGAGTAAACCCCTGACCAATGAGAGGTTAATTCAAGTATATCTATATCTATAAAACCTGCCTCTTGTTGCATATGGACTTTAATTCCCTATGATAGTCTTTTCCAAGATAGGAATTAATAGGAAAAAACCAAGTGCAGAGGTAGGTGCTATTACCACCACTTCAGAGATGTCAAAATGGGGATCAAAACTTTGTTCTCTTGCCTCAAATCTCACAGCTGGCGGTTGGGTAGAGCAGCTGCACCAGGTCTTGATCCCAAGACCCCTCACGCCTTTCAACTTCTCTTTAATTTTGCCTAGTGCCTCTCTTCTCTTTCAATCCTTTCAGAATGTTAATTCATCTGCACAAATGACATCCCTTTCTAGAATCATCACATAATAGAGCTCCTTCTTTCCCTTCTTTCTTCCTCAGAAGATGCTCCCCCCCCCCATTTAAATATTTTATTGTAGTTTAGGTAACATGGCTGCAATAATATCAACATTCTTTGGTTTTGGTGTACAAAGTTCTATACCCTCATCACCAATTAATTTAGCCAGACCCTCAACCACTCTCCTTCTTATTAAATTAAAAATTTATATTTTACAGTAGCAGCAATATTATTGTCTTATACTTGCTATACCATGTCCACCACACTTGTCAGAATCCTCCCACTCTTTTCCCAAGGTATCGCTCCTCAATAGCGCCCTCAGATCACTGTCCTAAAGACCACAGGAGATGCTTTGTTGTTGTTTTGGGGTCATGGTAGGCAGTTCTCAGGGCTTATTCCTGGCTCTGCTCAGGGATCACTCCTGGTGGGGCCAGGGAATGTATGTGGTGCCAGGGGTTGAATCTGTATCAGCCATGGAAGGTAAGCACCTTACCCACGCTACTATATCTCTGGTCCAGAAGATACTTCTTTCTAGAAGGTGCCAGTGATTTGGTGTCTCAGCTACACAAAGCTAATCTCAGGAATTTGTCATGAAAACACTGAGGTTAGAGGAGATCACAATGTCAAGAAGCTCTAGCGTGAATCCTTGCAAACTCCAGAAAGTTTATCATTGGGTTTATAATGTCTGAAATTTTTCTTTAAAAAAAACTCTCCGGTAGAACATCAAGATAATCACAAACATCTGGTGGGAGACTTCAGCAAAGGATAAACTTGGAGCAGATAAATAGAATATATATCTAACCTAAAAATATTCTTCTTAGTTTAAAAAATGCAAGGTAGAACTTGACCACTCTGGACCTGTTAAGGATACCAAGAAGAAATCATAATTTTGTGTCTCATGTTTTAAACATGGCTTCATCTGCCTCTAGGATTGTTGTTACCTCTTTGATTCATCCCACTGAGAATTCCTGAGTATCATACAGTCAAAGATTTAAGCTATCACATAACTCCTCAAGTTTATTTTAAATGGTTGTTCTGTATGGATTTGAAATATTCATCGGGGTAATGGTGTTGTACTTGGGGAAGGTGCTCTCAAACTGATGGATGAGATACAGAGGACAGTTAGGAAAAGTTAGTTGTGAGAAGAATGAATATAATTTTTTGGCCAACATTAACGTGGGATAGCAAAATACTGTCTTCTCTTCCTGCTCTCGGGAAAGGCTTTGTTTTTGCTTATTACTTTACAGAATCATTGAATTTTATCAGTAAATGTGATCATCTCCTTGATTTAGTCATTTTCCAGACGAGAACATTGGACCCTAAAGAGTTTACCTTCCCACATTTTGACTATAAATCCTGATTAAAAAGATTCATGCCATGTAATAAGATAGCAGGTGTCTTTGCCCAAAGTGTCTTTCTAGAAAATGAGGATACCAGAAAAAAAATCTATTTAATTTTTGTCTCTTAGGAGACATTTTTCCAAGCAAGACAGGGCAATTTTGGTTTATCTCTATTATTGGAGAAAGGCCTCAGTTTACATTTGTTAAATTACACACACACACACACACACACACACACACATACACGCTAAATATATGATTTTGATTTAATTTTATATTTTTCTTGAAAATACTTGGATACTAAGACTGCAATGAGTAATAAACTTTATAAAGTAGATCAACAATAAGTATAAAATTAAATATTAATTTTGGAATAAGAATCTTCTCTAAGATAGTAAGCTAAAATAATTTATGACATACTAACTTGTCAGTTGGGGTATGATACATTTTCTAAAATTGATTTATTTAACTTTTTGTCATAATTTCATTTCTTTTTCCTAAACCAATGAAACACTTCCCCTTTCTAATATGCCAATGGCTCTCTGTATTTATAGAGGAAACTGTGCTGGTAAAGTGTCGATAATTGTTACTACTTGTGTAATTGAGTATTACTATGCTTATAAGAAATGATATAATTTAAAGAAATTTTTAGCACTTTAATGATATGCAACTTCCCTTGATGTATTCCCTCTTGGCACCTTCAGAAAGGCCTTCTAAGACAATTATCAGATGGAATTGTAACAAGTTGTTTTCTGAAGTGCTGAGTGGTCTGCTTTTGAAAGGAAAGTTAACAATGAACACTTAAAGGTTCCAAGTTCTTTCTTCCTCAATTCCTGAAAAGTATTTAAGGACATGGTTTGGGAAGGGAATTCAATAATGGCATGCACTTTTCTGAGTAAACCGAGCTGAACAGATCCAGATTAGGCAAATTAAAATTAAGCATGAAAGGCTACTCCTATCTCAGAAATTTTAAAAACATGAGAAAAAATTATTTTAGTTAGAAAATGCTGTCTTATTTTTGCACTCCTTTCTTCATAAATTAATTTTTACTATTGAAACACTGTTCCTATGAGTACACATTGCACAAGAGAAAGCAAGAACTTTAAAAAGATCATTTCTCTCTTCAAAATAAACCACCCAGAAGTCTGCAAAAGTAAAAGCAAACGAACAAACGAACCCCCCCAAATCCTTGGTAGCATGAAAAGACAGAAACCTAGATGGCCAGGCTGGTTGAAATGGAGCTATATAACTCAATTCTCCAAGATATTAAAATAAATATTTATTGGCCTTTGCTGAAAATTTAAAAATATACTCTTCAACTATAAAACTGCATGTCATGCAAGTGAATTAAATAAAAGATGGGAAACAAAATAATCAAATCAGTAGAAGTACACACCCATTTCCCCTTCTGAACAATTAGCTGAAATACTCTAAGTTTATTTATTTATTTTTGTCTTCCGCTTTGGCATCTAACAGAAAATTATGTAGAATTAAAATCCTTACACTTGTCATAATTATGCTTAATTACAAGAAAATGTGGTGCATTATTAGGTAGGAAAATAAATACCTCCCAAATCCCTCTCTCACCCAAGCAGCAGTGAAGTTGTTTACTTTGGGAAAGGGTAACAAAAAGATTACCTGACACACAGAGGTAGTACCTGTCCTGGACCGAGAACTCTATTTCAATGAACTCGTACAGATTCTGCGAGAGAGGCTTAAACAATTTCTTCTCCAAGTCCTCCTTTACCAATGATGACATTGCCTCCAGTTCCACTTGGCTGGCTCTCTTGACTCAAGTCCTCTCTTGCCGTTTGCTCACTAAATTTTGGTTTGGGCTATGCAGCTCCTGATTGAGTCCTGCTCACCCCCCAGCCCTCACCTGCTTAACTTGTCAGTCCTAGGCAGAGCCAGGCTGCCAAGAGCGCTCAGCGGCGGCCAGACCCCGCTCACTGTAGGATGTGGCAGAGGCGGGCGCAGACCGAGCACAGCAGCAGGACCAGCCTCACCGTCACTTTTCAGCATCCAGGCTCAAGCAGGCTGCTCGCTGAAGCCCTCCCGAGGCTCGTTGATGGGGAGCCGGTTTCTGAACACCAGCAAATCGACTTGTGGAGTCCCCTGGTTATTCTCTAGTAGCTTTGCCCTCCCACTTCACTCTGCAGATGGAGACCACGACTTCTGCTTGATTCCATTACATAAATCAGCTGTCTGGCGCTATTGATTGAAATCATCTTCCATTAAGAACTTCACTATCATCCGCAAGAGAAAAAGCATCAAGGCAAACACTCTTGACACTTCCAACAAGTCTTCTTGCCCCTCCTGCAAATCACTCAGATCTTTGCTTCCTGACAAGCAGCACTGAACTTGGGTTCAACTTCTTCTTCCTCTTTTTTTTTTCTAAAAGGGTCAACTTTGATACTGAACTTTGATACTGGATTCAACGTCTTCCTTCCTTTTTTTTCTAAAAGGGTCAACTTTGATGTTGTTTATTTCTCTACACAAACACACACAAAAAATCTACCAATCCAAATCATTATATTTTTGCCCAGAGAAGGTGAATTTCCTATTCTTAAGGAGTTTGTGATCTAAAAAAGGGGAATATACCAAATAATCAAGCAAATCAATGAACAATGGGAGGACAGTGGTATAGTGCTACAGTTCAAAAATGGTAAATGGCACAAAGGAGAAGGGAAGATGTACTTGGGAATGTCAGAGAAAGTGATGAAAGAAGATCTAGAGTTTGAAGAAGAATTAAAGAAAAGTGTCCTGGTGGATGAAAGAGCGCATCACAGTGAGCCAAAGCTGGTTCAGGAAAGGAAATGATTCCGTGTCCCCTGTGGTTCTTGTGAAGACAGAGAGGGTCCAGACCGTGAAGAACCTTGGATGTTACTTTAATCTTTTTGGTTTTATTCCACAGTCAGTGAAGATTTGGAGACACGCAGCAAGTATTTTTCAAGGGTTGACACTGTCGTGCTCTGTTTAGAACTGGGAATTCAGCAGTGGGAAGAAATTAAGTCAATTTCTGGTTCTTGTGGAACTTAGTGGGGTAGATATGAGAAAGTAGTCCACTTGGGGTGCACTCAGCTACAAGGAACATGGCACAGAACTGTAAGTAGGAGAGTCTTCAGTCATCTCATAATAGAATTCTTCAAATAGTCCACCCCAAGGGCACATGAGGCTTCTAAGTACTGTCTGTTCTGATCTCAGATGCCAGCCTTTGTCCTCAGGTCGCTACTGTTTAGCCATAAGAACTGGGAGTAGGGGTTGGCAGGAGCTTAGGAGTGGTGATAGTGGTAATTCTTCTTAATTTCTCTTTTTGTTAGGAGAAAATCTCTCTCTCTCTCTCCTTTTTTTGTGGGGGTTGAATCACACCTGGAAATGTTCAGAGCTTACTTCTGACTCTGTGCTAAGCATTCCCTCCCAGCAGCACTCAGGAGACGATATGTGGTGCTGGATATCAAACTGAAGTTATCTGCAAACAAGGCAAGTGCCTTAGCCTTTGTACTATATCTCTGGCACACAAGGAGCAAAATATTTTAGAAACCAGACAGTTGACTTCCCTTTACAACATGGTGTTCATAAGGAGGACAACAGGAAAACAAGTATTCACCATATTCTGATGCTATCATGGCAAGGGAACTTTCTACCAAGGAATAAGGGGATGAAAATGACTATAAGTAGCCAACCAAGAGTGTATTTCTTTTTTAAAAATTTTTATTAGTGAAACACCATGAGGTACAGTTATAGACTTATAAATTTCTGTGCTTGGGTTTCAGTTATACAATGATCAAGTACCCATCCCTCCACCAGTGCCCATCCTCCACCACCACGGATCCCAGCATCCCTCCCACCCCCCATCCCACTCGTCCCATCCTGCCTCTGTGGCAGGGCATTCCCCCTTGTTCTCTCTCCCAAGAGGGTATTTCATGGCTATACTTGAGAAAATTAATGACAGGTCTTTGGCTAGACTGAATTGGTGGGGCATTTGCCTTTCTGGGTCTCAGTTTCCTCCTCTAAAGAATGGCTTCGGGATCTTATCCTACTTTAATATTTTCCTGCTTTTATTCCGGAAATCCATTAAAATAATTTTGAAAAGAGAACTTGAAAACCAGCACTCTCCTTTCGAATATTTAAGTGGAAAAGAAGGCATAAATACATGATATATCTTTAAAAATACAATCAAGAAGCCAGGGCACCTAATTGGATGTCAGATTGGAAGGTGGTATCAATTTCACACCACGACTTTCCACCTCTATGAGAAATTGAACTTACATAAAAGAAGGCATGTTTTCAGAGAGAAATCATTTTAAAGTCTTCATGTAAAGGTCACCCTAACTAAAACCCAAGGATAGTACCTTGAGTAAAACAGGTTGGGTCTTTTTAGAATAAACTAGGGCAGCAAAAGCACCCCATACAAGAATGGAATAGATGATGAAGCAGCAAACTGCATCCAGGAATGGAAAAAATAAAGCAATTTAGGGTCTTTCAGAAGTAGAGGCAAAAATAGAATAGGAAATTACCAGGACTTTATACTTTAAGATTGCCAGCTGATTGGCTCTGTGAAATATCCCAGTCTCTGCTCTTAATGTACCCATTGAATTTTGATTAAGGACTAACTGTCCTTAATGTCTCTGTCAAGAGAAGAGGAAAAAACCTATCAACATGATTTATGCTAGGTTCTAAGTATTGGTCTTTGAAATATGAATTGTTCAATTCAATATTCTAGTAATACTGAAAGCTTTTTTCAATCTTGCTACACCTACAGGTCAGCATCTGTCCTGCATACCAGGCCATGAACCTGCCGTGTCCAACGTGGGGCCGAGCCAGGGGAAGGCCGTCAGGATGAAAGCAACACTCGAGACACACAGGGCTCCGCCATGCAGGAGATGGTGAAGGATCTCTCTTTATCGTTTCACACCACAGGTATTTATCTCCCCTCCAAGTCAGGCAGGAAAGGGGAAGAGGCAAGCAGGGGCGTGGGGTGAGTCACGTACTGTCAGTCGGCTGATTGCCCCCAAGCCCTCGTAACCTTTACATGTGTCTCAATGTAGTGGCTGCCACATCAGTTTTAGACATAACCATAGAGGACGTGCTAAACCGAGGGTGTGCTCTAGATAAACATTTACAAGCTGGGACGTTTCCCAGAACTGAGGCCGTACTGTTGATACCAGAAAGTTGCCCATAACGTGAGTGTGGGGGAGGCAGCAGATCAGGCATCCATTTTGTGCCAGGAGGCAACATGAACCGACAGTTCTAATCAAAGTGTAGGCCAGTGGCTTCAGCCTTTCTACATCTGTAGGCTGGCACTGGTCCATGGACTGGCTGTTGGAGTGCATTGATTTAGAGGTTGTCGCACTTTTATCTATAAGGAAAGAGAATATTCTATGAAAGCAAGGTAACCCTTCTTATAGTCAATCAAGGAGTTGGTGCAATTCTGTCCCAAGTTTATCGTGGTAACTATGTCTGTAGCAATAAAATGTTACAAGTCCTTCCTTAGTAAGTCTGGTTTAGGAAAATTTTGTGAGTGTGTGCAATAGACTGAGGGTTTTGTCCCTCTTCAAATTCATCTGTTGAAACCCTACCCCTGAAAGGGATGAGATGTTTCAGCGAGTTGGAGTTGACCAGGTCATGGGGACTGTAATGATCTCACAAATGGTACAGGCATCCTTAAAAAAGAGGTCCCAGAGAACTCTCTCACATCTTTTGTGAAGAGGACACAGCAAGAAGAATCAGGAAACCAAGTCTCACCATACATCAAATCTATCAGTGCTTTGCTCTTGAACTTTGTAGCCTTCAGAACTATGACAAAGAAATGCTTAAGAAGTTTACATGAACTCTATTGCATTGTTCACGTGATCCAGATGGACACTGTACCCAGATTTACACTGTGTGCATGCACCACTAAAGTATGAAAGGATGTGCTTTACAAGGTGTTTTCCCCCACCCTCTTCCATCAGTTTCTTTCTTGGCATGTAAATCACACACACTCCCTAAACTCTGACTAACGTAAGAGTTATTAGAGACCAACAGCTCTGTCCCTGGAAGGAAAAGAAGCACAAGTCCTTTCTTCTGTGACCATTCTCCCTGATAGCTAAGACACTGGCTATCAAACCTTTCAATTTCTCACTAATATTGCATAATCCCTCACTGCTGGTGTCAGTATTCCCATTGGGAGAGGGCTTTTCTGCCTCGTCCCAGTGTACTGCACATTTTTCTTGCTTGACATATTTTAATGTCATTTTGATTTGTCTTTGGATCACATCAGAATTACCGTGGCTTTGTGTTTAGGGATAACTTCTGGTGTGGTTCCAGGGTCACATGGGTTGCCAGAGATCAAACCTGAGTCAACCACATGCAAAGCAAGTGATCTATCCACTATACTATCTCTCTGTCCCAGTTTTAGTGTTGTTTTATTGCACTGAGTTTTCAAAGACAGTATCCATTTAAAAGGAAAAGAGAAAAAGAAATATACAAGGATTCTATGAAAAAATATTTTATTGACAAAACATATACACAAATCCATCTTCAGGTGGAATTTCTGCTTTCTACACAATTCTATGAGTATTTAAGAAAAAGTACATAGAAAATGTGTGTCTTTTGTTCTCTGTGATGTACAATAACACCATGGACAAGTTTTTTTCTTGTTCAGTCTTACTTGGTTCCCTGGAATGCATAATTTGTGTTCACAAAAAGGCTACTTTACCCCAAATGATAGTGAAGTAATAAATTTTGCACTCTTTTGGAAGATACATGTATGCATATATTTATAAATATATGTGCTTATATGGGATAAACACATTTTTTCTCTTACTCTCTCTGCCTCTCGCTCCCTTTCCCTCTCCACCCCCCTCTCTTCTTGAAAGGAAAATAAATGAAGTTGCAAGTCTCTATATTTTTATATCTCAGTTAGTTTTTTTTTTCAAAAAAAAAAGGTTTTACTTTTTCCATTTTGGACCTAAGGGGACTTAAACTTAGTATATGTCACATTGCTTGATGTCCAGCTAATAACTGCTAATTCATAGCAAATGCCATCAATCATAAATCGCTTGCGGTGTTGTCAGTGACTGTCAAGGAGCTTTCCACTGGTTAGCTTATTTAATCTTCCCAGCAGGCCTTGAAGAATACTTCTTATTCATATTTTATATATGAGCAGGTTTTACACTGGTTATCAGCCATTTGCTCAATGTAGCATCGTAGTGGAGTCAAATTAGAATGCTGTCTTGCTCTTTAATTTGTGTCCTTAACCACGAGGCGCCACTGCTTTGTTCCAATTTGATCATGAATAGCACTTAAAACTCATTTCT